CAACTGGTTACTGCCAGCTTTGTTGTCTTTTTTTCTTTGACTTTCTCCCCAATTTAGTCGTCTCCAATTCCACCCACTAGTACGGATTCCCCCAATCACATGATACTACCAGCCCTAGGAAGGTGAAGGATAGCCCAGGCTTCCTCCAAGATCCGTGAAACCAGACGCCGTATCTTCTCGAACTGCCGCTCATGCAACGTCATTGGACAGCTGAATGCGCTCGGAGGAAAGCATCAACCGCCAGATCTGTTAAGTCAGCTAACAGACGCTTGCGCTGACTAGCATCACGCTGAGTGATGGGTAGAGAAGGAGGGGCCGTCCCACCCAGAGAGCGAGGCCAACTGTGCTCTCTTGGACTCCCGGCCATGGATGGCTGTCACCAGGGACCGAACTCGCGATCTCCTGATGAGAGGGCCAACGCTTAGATGGTTGCGCCACTCGGGAGCCCCAGCTTTGTTGTCTTAAAGACTGCCATAAGTGCATGTAACTGCCGTATGTTTTACCTGGTACATATATATATAGTGATTGTAATATGTATGGAGCATTTTTGGTGTGATTTTGCACATGTGCAGTATGATTTTGTGCATGTACGATGTGATCGTTGAATGTATGGCACATATATGGTGTCATTTTGTGATTGTAACAATGCAATGGTCTTGCTGTCTCACGTGATCACACTGTTAAGTATGTTAGTAATTTAGTGTGCAATTATTGTTCATTTTCAGTAAATATCTCTAGCTATGCATCCCAGAAAAGGTAGTGAAAAAATAATAAAAAGCATATGTACTGTTTAGTTAAATAACTGCCAATCCTGTTACCAATATAACCTTATGTTATATAACTGCAGTTGTTGTTTGTTGTGTTTTGTAAAGTAGCACACCGTAAATTGCAAACCATCTTTGTCAGATGCTGGTAATGTTACAGTAAATTGCTGGAAACCCTCCTGCCAGCTCTTTTAACCTCTTCACCCTTTTTCAGAAGAGTTTCTTTGTTGTTGTCATTGTGCGGAAAGGTGGCAGAGAGAGCATCAGCCTGTATTTTATGTTCTGTGATTAATTCCCACTTGATAAAGTCGAGCAGGTCGGGCAGAAGATCACAACATGTCGCCCTTCCAAGAATGAAGGTCTGATGTGCATCTGATGGTGGATAAAAGCCACAGCACCATATGGTGTTTTTCCATCTTTTTTTGATAAAGAGATAAAACTGTGGATGTGATCAATTACAGAGAAATACTAAAACGTATTGCTATCATCTGTGTGTTTCTGTGTGTTTGTGCAGTAACAAAGATTAAATTAACTGCATAAGCAGCCTTGCCAGTATCTGTGCATCTGTCTTTCATTGTCTCTTTGATTTGATTTTGACTGTTTTGTTATGACAGGTTCACTGACTTATACTATAAAGCGTCTTAAGAATGTGAGACATCACCTAAAAAATAAACAGCATTGGGCCATCCTAGCCAGAATAGATAATCTAATTTATACAATCTTCCCTTTAGCCTAAATCATTCAAGACACATTTGGTGTCTAAAGTTTACTTCTTTAGTTTTGCACTCCAGCTACAAGGCTAATCGAGCCGGTCTGGCTTGATTCATCTCAAACAACCCTTTTCTCACCTGTCAGCATTGTGCAAACTGCATGGCTCGAACAGCTGAAGGGACACCCAGGGCAAAATGAACAATGTATCGAGTGCTGCATCCATTGTAAAGAAGCTTGCTCATAAGAAAAGGATAAGAAAACCCCCTACTGTTGCTCTTGAAGATGGGAGGAACCTTTGGAAAACTACTTTGGGATGGATTTTTGGTGGTGGGCTGTTTTTAGTAGCTGTGAAAGCCAAAGAAAGGCGACTAACGTTACTACCAGGGAGCTGAATATCTTATTGCATCTTAGTAAGTGTTTTTAAATCATCATTACAATGAAGAAAATGAATGACTCAAATAACAGAAATGACCGGTCAGATGAGGAGAACAACTAAAAGTTAAAGTTTACAGGGTAAATCTCGATATCTTACCTCAGTTTGGCTTCTTTTTTTCTGGCTTTAAAGGGTGAGAACTTGTATCTGGTGTCCATTTGTGCTGAATTAAGATAGATTTTTGTTTTAATCAATTTCGTCTGATGACTGAAGTGAGACTTACACTTATTCTGTCTTGGTTGTATTTATTAGCTTATAGATCAATGGCGTGTATAGCAGTCAGGATTGGTTGACCCCACATGGATTCCCGGTGGTTGTATGACGTATGTGTATAATGCACGCTGAGTATTGTAGTGAGAGAACAATGATGAATGACAGTGAAGTAAGACCATAAATCCAAGCCGGGCATATTCACCCCTTAACATTCCAGGCTTATTATATGCTAAGGCTTATTATTTATTCAGTACAGGGACTTCAATGCAAACCAATGGAGCTTTTCTTAGGTTATAGAAGTGTGTAATAAAACTTTGTTCATGGCTTGGTAAGAGGTTAATGCCCACATTTGTGGAATGCTATGTCCCACAAGTTTTATATAAATATATATATATATATTTATATATATACTTTTGGCCATGTTACAATATACAACTAACATGCTCTTAATAAACTGGATCCATTACTGTTACATCATTTTTGGAGTTCAGTGTTAAAATGGCATTAGATTAGCTGAGGAATGCATACTTAAAGTATAGGATTAGTTAACTTATGTTATTTGCAACCCAGTGACATATTCCTACCTCTAGCTTTAGTTAGCCAGCCAGCTAATTGCTTTGAGATTTCAACAGCTCCAATACACCGGCTTTGTTTGTAGCAGACCACAGGCCTTCACACTCACAAGAAAAATATGCTAATATTCCATGATATTCCTTAGCAGCAGCAGCTGTGTGTGTGTGTGTGTGTGTGTGTATAAGCAGTAAGAGAGAGTGTGTTAATCTGTACGGTAAATCTTTTCCTGCTCTCTGACTCGGTTCCAATTGGAACAGTCCTTCCAGCATCATACCACTAGATAAATTAGGCCTACTCTGTTCTGGGGTGTCTGTGGTGTGTGTGTGAGTGGGTGTCTATGTGTGTGTGCGGTGTGAGAGCTTGTGACGTGTTATAAATATTTCGACTGCGGCGGTCCATAAAGTGGAGTGGGGGTTTAGTACAGCTGTTTCAAGTTTGCGATCCGCTGCAGCTCAACGTGTCACTGCTTGTGTATGTGTGTGCGCACATGTGTGTGTGTGTGTTTGGCCCAGGTTTCTTATGGCTCCTGTGCAGGCGCTGCCTGACGGATTAATTGGTGGCCTCAAAACCCAAACAGCTTTCTCTCTACCACATGCAGAACCCTTCATTTCAACACCAGTAGCAAACCAATCTCGGGTTTTGATTTCAAGCAAGACTGGCAGCCGTATTCAACACACGCCAGCCTGATCACACTGTGGATACATCTCTCATTAACAAAGCAAACACTCCCGCTCGCACATGCTCCCCATAGTCTCAACTTTTTCGCCTGGATTGCAGAAATGTAACCTGAATAGCCGTGGGCCACCAAGCACTGGAAAATGTTTTCTTTTGTTTATGATGGGAAGATGTATCTACATAAATCCCACAGGCACAGTTGTAGCCAAAGTATCTGACATGTGAACAAAACCAAAAGTGCAATTTGGTCAAGTCTGGCCACAGTTCGCCTCTCAGCAACTTTATTTTAGAAAAAAAATGCCCCTATATGCCAAACGTAGTCGAGACATTTGGTGTCTGAAGTTTGCTTCTATCTGCTTTTGCAATGGAGCTATGAGGCTTATGTAGCAAATAACAAGCAAGCTCAAACCAAACCAGGTGTCGATATAAATTTGTAAACACTCTCAGAAATAAAGGTACGAAACTGTCACTGGGGCAGTACCCCTCTCGTCACTGGGGTGGGACCCTCAAGGGTTCATCTCAGTACCTTTAGTCAGGGAACATAACTGTACCATAATTCACTGAAATTATATTTTCTAAGTTGTATTGTTTTGCCTCCAGGCTTTTTACTTTATTGCTCTGTTTTAAAACATTAGATAATGAAAAGGTACAAATATGTATTTTTCACCTGGAAAAACTTACTTAAGGTGCACAATTGGACCTTAAAGCCACTGTTGTACCTTTGGGGGAACATTTACATTGTTTCTACCTTGATGAATGAAAAATGTACCTGCACTGTACCTTTATTTCTAACAGTGTCTCACAATAGTTACCAAAAATCATTTTATAATATTATCATGAAGAAAAAATACAGCTCTGAATTTCTAAACGTCATTTTTAAATAGCAATACTGGTTATACATTGTAACATGTACAATGAAGTGATAATCAAAATATTGACTGTGTATAGTTATCTTAAACTTTAAAATTATATAACCGGGAACATTCGTCAGCCACTTATACCTTAACATAACAGTGATGAAAGTAGATCATTTGCATGTGTTTACCTGCTGCTATGATAATGCTATTCTGCTAGCGCTCCAATTGCTTTCCCCATTTTAACTTAGCATTAAGGTAACAGATTTAATACTATACCGCTCAAGCCTACACACACATATCTGAAGCTTGTGACAGACATTCAGACACATTTTGTCTTTCTATGTTGCAGATGTACAGTGAATCATTCAATACACCTTTCTACTTACAGCCTATGCCTGAATATTACTTGTAAACCTTTTAGCGATTTGACAAAGTAGTTGTTAAACAAAACCATGCTAGTAGGAAATGTTTGCTATTATATGATTTTTCCTCCTCCAAGTCAAGTTGGAGACAGAAGTTCTGGGATCCCTCCTACTTCTGCCATGCTGTGGCAGCACACTGCAATTATTTATGTTAGCGCTGCTGATGCGCTCAGAGGAGGGAATGCAATATGTGATCAGGCTGTGAGGGTGTAGAGTGTAGTGGGAACCAGAGCTCATCTGCAGACATATAAATCTGGTGAAACTGCAATGCAGAGATGGTATTTTATAGTGTCCATGATGATGTTACTATGTATGTTGTATAAGGCTCTTATCATTCGGCGGCGATGCTCACCTGGAGCCATTCACCTGCCCCCCTCCTCCTCCGCCCCCTCCGGCTCCTGCAGGCCCTCCTCCGCTGCTGCACTCCATCTTGATGGTGACACGGCCAGGCGGAGCGGTCAGCCAGTCCTGAGGCGCTCGTGGGCTCAGTTTACTCTGACCATACTCGCTGGCCGCTGACGCCGTCATCTCTGCTTTACCCTGCTGGGCCACGCTGTAGGCACACTCAAACAGAGACTGATCCTCACTCACCACAGAGAGCGCCTCCTACGGGGAGAGAGAGAGAGAGAGAGAGAGAGAGACGTAGAGAGAGAGAGAGAAATGAGAGGAAGGAAAGGACAAAAAGAGACAGGAAGATGAGTATAGAGAAAGAGGGAGAGAATAGACAGAGTGAGAGAGAAAAGAGAGAGAAAGAAGAGAGGAAGAAAAAGTCGAAGAGGGAAAAAGAAGATAAGGAGAGAGGGGGAAAGAGGGGGGCAGAAGAAAGATGAGAGGAAGGAAAGGACAAAAACAGACAGAAAGATGTGGAGAGAGAAAGAGGGAGAGAACAGACAGAGTGAGAGAGAGAGAAAGAGAAGAAAAAAGACAAGGACATACAGATAAGGAGAAAGAGAAAATAGTAAAAGAAGGTAAGAGGGAGGAAAACACAGGAGGAGGAGAGAAAGAGAGGCAGAAAAGGAGAGAGAATAAGAGAAGGTCCGAGAAAGAAGAGAAAGAGGGAAGGAGAGAGAGATGAGGGAAGAAAGAGGGCAAGAGATAAAGACAGACAGAGAAATACAGGGATAGAGGGAATGGAAGAGAGAAGAGAGGAAAAGAACAAGAGAGAGTGACAGAGAGAGTGAAAGAGAAAGAAGATAAACAAAAAGAGAGAGTAAAGAAGAAGAGAGGGAGAGAATATGGTCATTTTCTGTGAGGTCATACAGTAGTGACCTAAGAATTGCGCTGTGCTCAGGCCTTGTGAGTGTGTACTGTTCAGTGAGCAGGTTTGGAATCAGCAGAAGGAGGAAAGGGAAGTCGTGTCGGAAAGCAGATTAAACACTCTCTCACTGCTGCTCAGCTGTAAAGGCCATTAATGCAGCGCCAGCCACATGAACCTTCACCTGCCAGAGTGGCAGCAATCCACACTTGCAAACCATTACCCACCCATCTCCCACCAACCTGGACCCCACACCCCTGCTCCTACACACTTAACGAAAACAAAACACGCACACTCACACTCCGTCAGGGCCCTACACCCAGTTAGACACTTCCTTTGTTTTTATCTTATGGAACAACCCATCAGAACAGCTACTGCTGAAAAACACAGCCATAACGCCTGGCCTGTCTGCATTCATACAACCAGCTTTAAAGGAGTAGTTATAAATCAAACTATATACATAAATTTATATCGCTGCTGTTGCTCTTTACATTGTGTGTAAATTTCATGATGAATGGACCAAAAGAAACGGCCCGAAATGACTTGGAAAAAAGTCTGGTTCCACTGACTTACATTAAGGGTAAAGTAGGTTTTTTCCTTCTCATTTTGGAGATAAGAAGTTTTCTTCAGACAACAGCGATATAATAAATAAAATAATAATTTAATACTAATCAAATTTACCCCAAATGTCTCCAAACTGGGAAGAGAAAGGAGAAAACCATTTTAACTTGTAATGGAAGTTAATATAAAAATATTTTTTCCAAGTAATTTCTACTGGTCCATTCATTATGAATTATGAAAGGGAATTGTAGTTTATGCAAAAAAACTATGCGATGGTGTTGTGTTTTGGATACTGATGTGCTGGTCAGCCACAATGGAAGCTGTTATGCTTATTACCACCAAAACCAGCTTATGTTGGACACCGGTATGCTGGTCAACCAGCATGACCATGCTGGATGACCAACTAAACCAGCACCAGACCAGCACTATACTCTATAAACCAGCTTAGACCGGCATGGAATTTATGCTGGTCTAAGCTCTTTTTTAAGCAGGTCTATGGAAGCTTATGATCACCAGTTAGCGTCATACAAACCATATGTCTAATTATCATAATAACCTCACACCATGCTGAGTTGCTAATAGGCTTGTTATAGAGTGAGCAATATACCGTGGTCAGATCGTGCCTCCCAGCCCACCATCATGAGCCGTTTGACCGCGCCACCAGTATATTATAGAGTGTGTTTTCAGGAGCCGTAAATGCAGACTGCGGGCTGCTCCTTATGCTGGCAGACTAAGGATACTATTAATTGATATTGGCGGCCTTTCTCGACTAACACGTTTCAGCAGGGCAGATTATGTGGTAACACTTTAACTGGAAGAAATAAACATGCTTCCAGCAATGGTTGTCTTTTGGCTGTAAAGTCCTAAGCTACTGACAATGCTATCATCCCATAATGAAGGCATTTACTTAAGACACTGAGGTAAATGGTCAGGATAAAATAGCTGAATCAAATCTCTTCTCGTTTTTTGAGTGAAAGCATGGCGTAAATTAAGTAGCCACTTCCAACACTGAGATTTTTAATCAATTATCCTCACTTCTCCATTGAAAAGTAATCTATCTGAATAGTACTTATGACACAGGTATCTATAAAAATTGGCAAAAGTATTTTCATAGCTAAAAATAGAAGTAGCAACTACACCACAACCTTTTCCTCACTGTTATATATGTATATATGTAATATAGATGTTTTTTTCCTTTTCTTTTTTCCTTATTCTTAATGACATAAATATATTTGATAATTAACTTTTTTCTCTCTTGTTCTGCACTACATACACATACCAAATAGATTTTGTTTTATTATTGTATATACTTTTATATTATTAATTCATAATTAACACTTTCTCTTCTTAATTGTTGTATTGTTTTATATGATTCTTGTTTTTGTATTGCTTTTCATAAACCTTTTATATATAGATCATTTTTGTAGTACTTTGACAATACAAATGTAAATTTGTCAATAAAACAAACTTGAACTATTCTGAAGTCTGATTTTTTTCAGCGTTGAGCTTGTTGACTGATCGACTCCATTTAGAGCAAAGAAAACCTGTATTTCTGAATTCTCCCTGAGCTTTTCCTTTAAACGAGGACAACTCGGAACTCAGCAGTGAGCTTTATGGAAAACGGCAGCACTGCTGCCAGATCCGAAACGTGTGAAAACATAGTGATGTTCGTTTTGGCCTTTTGAGAGCACAGAGCATCCAGCGTCAGTGTTCCATACACTACAACAATAAAAACACTGGAAAGCTGAGGTTCACTTTCTTCTGACAGTATTTAGAACGGACTGGTGCGCATGGACTAGACTGAGTGGGCCCAGAAACGGCCAGAATGGACTTCTCTCCAAACTGAAATAACCTTTAGAGCTTTGCACGGCCTTCATAGTTCAGCCAAAGAAAAGCAGCATCAGAAAAGCCAGCCAGCATAGCCTGGTTTCCCTCTCTCTCTGTCAAAGCTACCAAAACTACAGAGGGTTCTCTCCCCACGGCTATGAAAGGCTACACAGAATCTGTTTTTATGGAAACAGCATTCATCTATGTTTGCTGTTTTAACGTGGTCACATGACTCGGTTCAACAAAGCTTGTGCTGTGAATGAGCGAGACTGAGGAGACCTAGAGTGTTTCAGTGGACTGAGCACCTTAAGCAGCTTCACCATTCTGAACTGAACACTTAGTCCATATGCAGCGGTTCTGATATAGGACCAGTCCATATGACCACATGCATTACAATAGTCAAAATCTAGTTCAGCGCTCTTTGTGTGGCCTGCTCTCTTTCAGTCTGAATGGGCCTAGAAGCTCATTCATGCAGCAGCGCAGCGGCAGACAGGAAGACCTCTGCTAGCCTTTTCCTGCTTTACAGCCGCAGATAGCGAGGGATAATGGAGGAGGGGAGTGGAAAAGAGGAAAAGCCCATCCATCGACATTCTGATTGTGATCTGAGAGAGGCCCTCAGTACAGAGAGAGAGAGAGAGATTGAGAGAGAGAGAGAGAGAGAGAGAGAGAGAGAGAAAGCTAGGTGGAGGTGGCTGACGCCCTGTCATTAACACCACAGGCATGGGAGGCCATTAACCTCTGATGAAGGTCAGCACAGTGACTGTACCCGTACATTTCCCCCATCAGCAACTCTCACAGCCTGCTGTTTACATGGCCTCTCCCTCTCTAATCACTCCCTCACTCCTGTCTCACTCCTCACTTCTCTGTTTCTTCCACAAACCACTTTTTTCTCCTTTACTGATCACTTCTCCACTCCTCTCTCTCCCACTAATTACTCCTCTCTCTCTCTCTCTCTCTCTCTCTCACTCTTACTAATCTGTCTCACTTCTCTCTCTCTCACACACTAAGTGCTCCTCTCTCACCCTTACTAGTTACTCCCTCACTCCTCTCTCTCCCTAACTAACTATTCCTGTCTCCTTCATTCACCCTCACTACTCACTCTCTTACTCCTGTCTTCCCCACCAGTCACTCCTCTCTCTCTATCATTAATCATTCTCTCACTCTCCTGTTTTGCACTCTTTCCCACACTCCTCTTTCCAACACTGACCACTCCCTTTCTCTGTCTCATTAATCACTCCCTCACTCTTCTCTCTCCCCAATAATCACTCCTGTTTCTCCCTCACTAATCTCTTCTCTTTCTCCATATCTAATCACTCCCACACTCCTCTCTCCCCCACTAAACACTCCGACACAAATCACTCCCTCACTCTTCTCTGTCCCCAATAATCACTTGTTTCTCCCTCACTAATCTCTTCTCTTTCTCCATCAATAATCACTCCCACAATCCTCTCTCCCACTAATCACTCCCACACAAATTACTCCCTCATTCCTCTCTCAACACTGATCACTCTCTCACTCCTGCCTCATCAATGATCACACTCTCTCCCTCATTCCTCTCAACTCTAATCACTCTCTCACTCCTCTCTCATCACTGATCACACTCTCTCCCTCACTCCTCTCAACTCTAATCACTCTTTCACTCCTCTCATCACTAATCACTCTCTCTTCCTCACTCCTCTCTCTCCCTCACTAATCACTCCCCAATTCCTCACGCAAATTCCTTTTGCACCCTAAAGATGCATTTCTTAAGAAGCTCATTTTGGCAATAAACCCATGTCACTAAAAATTCAGAGCACACTGACCCAACAAACCCAAGCGTCAGTCTGGTGTGACCGCTGTCTCTAGAACATTCTCACACATTCACTCTGTTTTAAAGTGTTCTGCCTCATTCACACCTTTCGAGAATAACTGTTCTTCGAACATGGAACACGTCAGTTCTACTTAAGAGCTGGAGGACCACAAA